TACACTCACACGCGTGCGCGCGCACACACACACACACAGCTCCATTGTACACCCCACCGTGAAAGAGCTGTCCTCCCACAGGACCGATATACTTGCAATAATTGATATTTTCAAGATTTAGTGTGTGATGTGTGTGTGTGGAGGGGAGAAAATAACCAAAAATTCCCAAGAGTTTTAAAGCCTTTTATTTATTTACGTTCTCTAAACTGCAGACAAAAAAGATTTTGCTACGTAGGTTGTCAACACTGCTAACCAACCACAGAACAAGATACTAACCACAGCGAAGTAGGGACAGAGGTCTGTGACTCAGTCTTTGCAAATGTGCAAGAGTTCTGCAGAGGGCTGGGATGTCCAGGGGTCCCGAAGTGATGCCCACAGTGCTCTTCATCACATGAGCTGCAGGTCTGGATGTCGATGAGCCCCCTCCCCCGAGGAACCCGGAGCCATGGCAGGGAAAGAGGGAGGGGTCCTGGGCAGCCTTTCCGGCAGCCACGGAAGGAAGCAACTGCCTCTACCTCCAGGCAAGTCCTGGGCAGTGAGCCCCAATCCAGAGGTGGCTGTTTCCAACCTGGAGATCCTTCTGGAGACAGTCACAGTACTCCAGCCCTCTGGGAAGTCACAGAAGCTCCGTGTCCCTCCGGACGATGGGAGAAGTGACACAGCCTCCTCTCTAATACTGAAACACTGAGAGATCTCGATACATCCCGTCGACAGGGCAGAAACATCACAGCACTATTCACAGCGGGAGCCACAAAAGAGTGGGAACTTGACACACGGAAGAAAGGAGCGGCCCCAGAAAACCGAGGAGCCGCGCACGCACATACCTAGAGACTGAGACTATAATCACATCAAGAGGGGGCTTTTCATTTGCCTGTGACCGTGGGTGCTTTTCGAGGAGCCGGTGGATAGGGCTTCAGACCATGACGCACAGCTCCCCAAGCCCGGAGCTCCTTTCTCCAGCGTCGGGAAAGCCGTGTCCGCCTCAGTCCTGGAACTGTCCCAAGCACCCAGCAGCGCCAGGCAAGCACACAAAGATGTCCAATCAGGACATAACCTGTGTTGGATCCCAAGGTCCAGCGGGGATGGGGGGATCCCAGGGAGCATGAAAGACCCTCACTAGCAGGAATTTCTGTGGTTAGACGCCCACTCTGTGGGCCATTTTTGAGTTTCAGAAGAGTTGGAGAGAAGGAAGAGGGGAAAAGAGACAAAAGAGCATTTTGGAATCACGGGAATATACTGTGGGAACGACCGCCCTCTCTCTCGCTCCCACCTGGAAGAAGAGAAGCTGCACCCGGGTCCTGTCTATAGGCCTAATGGGGTAAGTGGAGACGCAACAATCAGATCATTGGAACATCTCCAAGGGCCCCCTATCAAACCACAGCCCAGAGCTATGGGGGTGAGGGGTACATTCCCGAGGCTGCGGGCACGCAGGGGCTGTGGTGACACTGGAACAGGATGGTGACAACAAAGTCGACCCCTCCCCAGACCCCCGAACTGACACAGCCAAGTCAACCAAGGGGCTTCCGTGCCCCCAGCGGAGTCTGCACAGGAATAAGCTTCTTCCAGGGGACCTCTTCTCCCCTTCTGCTCCAGGGGCCAAAGCCCTTCCAGGGGAACCCCAGGATTTGAATAGCGCGGGCAGCCTCTCCCTGAGAAGCAAGCGCAGTGGAGCGTCAGGCAGCTAGAAGGAACCAATTAGTTTTGGCTCCCTGCCAGAGATGCTCCATTTCTTGGCTCTCAGGGGGGAATGTTATGGAAGCCAGGCTTTAAAAGTGCCCTCATCCTAAACACATTTGGAAGGGGCGGTGGGGGCAGAGCTGGTGAGGACTGGTTATGGCTCTCTCACAAGACTGGGCCAGTGCCCGCTCTAGGCCTTTGTCTCCTCATTGGTCCAGCGGGTCAGCAGCAGGTCAGAGGGGATTCTGAACAGACCTGTGCCCTCATTCTGAGAGTAGACTCCAGCAGAGGTAGGAGGGGAGACCCTCCGACAGCTCAGCCCCTGGGCTCCCAAGTCTACCCCTCCTGAAGTTGGGGGACCGGCGAGCTGAGAGTGTGAGGCCTGCTGCCAAGGATGCAAGCCAGAATCTGCCCCCTCCCCAGTACAGGAGACCAGGAGAAGCCTGGTCACTGCAAACAGACTTGAGTCAAAAGAACCTTGCCCAGGGGCTTTCAAATGGGTGGGTGGTCACACCCAGAATTGCATTTTGCATTTGAAACCAGACCAGCAGCCGAGCATCACAAAAATCTCATGTCCCTGACTCTCTCCACAGAAGTCACCAAAATTCTTCTCACTGGGAGCCATGGGCTCCCAGGGACCTCCCCACATAGGAGTCAAAGGCTCGATTAAACCGGCACCTCCACAGGGGCAGTTTCATGCCCGCCTTCTCCTAAGCCCGAGCACTCAGCTGAAAATGAGCCGGGTACAACTTCTTCAGGGGCAGTGAGAAGCTGAAATGTGCAGAGGAAAGGAAAGATGGAAGAAACAGTTTATTTCTGCTGCTGTCATTATGGACAACGGCTAGTCCAGTGAGGTGTGGCGATGGAATCTGCTGCGCTCCTGGCCAAAGGGGGCCTAAGAGGTGTACTCGAGGCGCCTCGACATTGGGTCTCCAGCTCCCACACACTTTCTGTGCCGCAAACACCCCTTCACAGCCGAGACATCCTGGCTGGGGTCTCTGTGGGGCCACCCCCTCTGTGTCCCACCACCCACCCGCCTGCTTTCTCTAGTGGGGTTGGGAAAGACAATTGTGTGGGTCTCTTTCTGCCTCTGCTCAGGTCGTGCCAGTTGCACCTCCCTGCACCCCTGGAGTCTAAAAGCAGCATTTGGAGGCCCAGCATCAGATTTCCATAGGCTGCCGGGCATACTCCAGCCCAGGTGACGTTATCATCTCACTAACGTTCATGTCGAAAATGTTCATCTCCCAAGGACCGCCGGTTCTTGGAAAAGCAGATAGCAGCAGCTAGACTGAGGTCAACTCGGTTCTCTGTCCACATCCCCAGAGGGTGGAAGGAGCTGGATGCTTTAGCCTGTGCCTCTTTTATGGGTAAACACCAAGCAAACAACAGAGAGGCCGAAATACACACACACACCTTCCCCAAAGGCACTATTTGAAGTGATCAGGATGCCCTGGGAGAGTGTCATTTTAGAGTTGAAAAGCTACTAGAAGGCTAGGCCAGAATGTGGTTTCTTTTTCTAGCCCCCATGGGACTGGGCATGTTACCCTGCACAAGGTGCCCTCCAGAATGTTTTAGCCAATAACAACCTGCCCAGCAATCCCCCATGACAAGCCAGAAATGTGCTCCTTTTCCTTCAGAGGGAAAAAGCCCAGAGTGTGCAAATATGACATAGGAGTGGTGGTCAAGGGGGGTGGCACCCCTTCCCAGCTGGAGGCACAAATGCTCCCTAAGCCTCTGACCACTTAGGGCCACAGTGTGACTTCTCTGCTTTCCGAAATGTCACATGGCCCAGACGCATCAGGATTCTACTCCCTACCCACCTCTCTTCAGCCACCTGCTCCCACCTCCTCAGCCCCAACCTTCTGTATCTTCATGCTCTTGCTCAGATATTCTTGAACAGCTTTTTTCCCCTAGCCCCCATTTCCGGCCTCTTAAACTGTGTTGAAAATGTGCAGGGGGGTGTATGTTTTTTTCTTTTGTGCCATTATTTCTTCCCCTCTTCCCCTCTGCCTGGCATGGCAGGAGGGAAGGGAAGGAAAGGTGCAGAAAGGGAGAAGGCAGACTAGGAAGGGAAGAACCACAATCTCCATGGGGAGTAAATCTGAAAGGACAAAGGCAACAGAAACCACAACCCAATTCCAACTATAAAATTTTTGCTTCCCTCCCACAAAAAGGAAACTCGAGAACTTTCAAACAACTATTGCCAAACACTGTCCCCAAAGAAGCAGAGGTGAGTGGAGAGGAGAGATGATAAATTCCTGCAGCCCATGACTTTTCAAGCATAAGGCTCCCTTTCCAACCCTGTGCAGGGTCTGAAAGCTTGGGGAGCCAGTCTGGTAGCACCTCGAGGAAGGCTGCACCTCGTCCAACAGCTCCTGGCTAAGGGCAGGCTCTCCCTCTCATCCTGGAGCCACACATAAGGTTCACTTAAGTTCCTTAGGTGACAGGTGTGTGTGTGTATGTGTGTCCCTATTTTTATCATCAATATTAATAACACTGATAGAAAAAATGGAGTCCCTGGCATACAAGCAAACAGGTGTGAGTGTCAGTATAACCTGGAGACTCATGGAGTGGTGAGGCGGAGGGAAACTTTAGGCTCCAGGAGCTCACACCTCTCCCTGCCCCCACATTTCCTGCAGGGACTCATAGCTGCCCCCCCCTTCCCCACCACAGCAGCGCTTATGTGGGAGACTGGGCTGGTGCCGTCCTGAATGGCCACTTTACTCGCTGCCTGGGCTAGAGGTCATTATTAGTAATTATATCTCTGTCGAGGAGGGTTCTGGCTGCCCGCCAGTCCCGGTGCCTGCCTTCCTCCGGCCTGCCCTGGGAAATGTCACCATCAGCACAAATACTTCCTTCTCTCCGTGGGGCCAAAGAGAGGGAAACCCTGCAATGACCCTCTTTCAAGGCACGGGTGCAAAGAAAGGATGGGTGTCGGGAACAAAGAGACGGTGACCGAGGGGCAGTGCTGTGCCCTCTGACCTCGAGGGACCTTGGGGAGTTACCCCAGGTCTCAGCCATCTGAGGGGACACAGTCAGAGTTCACTCAGAACCCAGCAGGAGCCTTCTCTGGGAACCTACCCCCTTCTAAATCTTTCTCCTCACACAGGCAACTCCCTGCTCCTTCTGGAAAACAACTGGATGGGGACCTGGCAGGCCCGGAACCCTCCTCCTACAGTTTCCTGGAGGTATTTCCTTGGGCCTGTCTTTCCAGCAGCCTGGGCTGGAAGCACAAGAGAGGGCCCCTCAGCCGAGCCTTCCTAGGAGTAGCTGCTGAGATGCCCTAAGGAAGGCCCCCAACCCCCAACCCCACCCCTGCAGTGTCTATCTGGGGGCTCTGTTTATCCTCCCACCAGGACGCCCAAGCAATCTCCCCCTCCTCTTGCCTACCTCTCAGAACAATGACCTCAGCTGGCTCTTCCAGCTTCCTCTGGAAGGCTCTCCTCTTGCCACCCCACAGGCCCTGAACTTACCGCCAATCTCTTTTGCTGTTTCTACACTCATGGTCAGTGGCCATACACAGAACCCAAGCCCTAGAAATATTCAGGAAGGGGAGAGGAGCCCCAACCCCAAGCTACTACAGATCCCACTTCTAACCATTAGGCCCAAGGAAACAGGCCAGGCCAAGGGCTTGGGCAGGGAGGCTTGCAGGCCTGAGGCAAATTCAAGTGTCTCTTGTTCCCACCATCTTCCCCACGCCTACTTAGTCTCAGGATCAAACGGCTAATCGAAAAACCAACAGCTTCTCTTCAGGAAGGAAGTAAAATTCCAAAAAGGGCAATAAACAAGGGGAGAGGAGGAACCCCATCTACTTTGCCAGGTGGTAGGGAGGTAGGACTGGTCGGATCCCCCCTCCCAGCTGGACTCGGGGACTGGAGGGCTCCCCTGATGGCAGTGCCTGGAAACCATCTGCTGCCCAAGAATGCAGGGTAAGAACTAGCCTGGCCTTCACTACCACACAACTCACACACACACACACACACACACACACACACACACACACACACATGCACTCACACACACATTCACACCCACGATTGCTCACACACACACTCTCAAACCAGGAGGGACATCAGCAGCTTTTCTAAGACAGACAACGCTCCCCTGGGGGAAAATCTACAAGGACACACTGCACCTCCCACCTCCGCGGGGGGTAGAGGCCCCATTCTCACCCGCTGGGCCCACAGAGGCCCCTGCCCCACACACACGCACAAGAGGGAGCCAGGGGGCCTCAAGAAAGGGCTGCTTGCTTGGTGTACAAAGGTAGCAAAGGTTTGGCCTTTATAAACTTTAAATAATCACACTGCCCAGCACCACAGGCCTAAGGGAAGAACGGGTTACAGCAACTTTCCATCCCAGCCCAGTTAGTTAGTTACTTTGCTCCCTCCAGCAGTGGAAATCAGGTTTCTGGCCCCCTCCTCACCCATCTCCTCATTTTGGTTTACCTGACCAGAAGACCTTTGACCCTGCTCACTCCTAACACCCCTTCCTCCCTCCTTCTCCAAGGGCGTGAGCCCACTACGGGACGCAAGCGCAGCTCTGACTGGGGCCCAGGCGAGGCATGGGTCATCACTGGAGCAAGTGAGCATGGCCCAGGGATCCAACGTTCCCTTGGGTTGCGCAGTGGCAGCTGGGAACAGCCTAGGGTGGGGGAGGAGGGAGTGAGAGAAGGAGGCTGCTGTCCTGGGGGGTGGGGAGGCTGGTCCTCAGGGTTCCCCTCCCCCCAACATGCACAATCTCAAAGAGGAAACTGGGGACCCCACCTCTCTTGAGTCCTGGAGCCTGAGAAAGCCAGCAATCTTTCTTCAACAACACCGAAGAGCACAGATCTGTCTCCTAAACTTGCCAGGGTAGGAAAAGTCACAATAAGAATCTCATTTTTCTTCCTTAAAATATCTGAGCTTTTTAAGGGGAGGGCTGAAAGGAATCGTGATGAGTTCAAAGCACAAAGACTAAAATGCCACGGTGAGTGTAACTCTCCAGGGTATCATGAAACCATCACTGTGAAACCCAGACCCTCCCCTAACCTTAAAACCGGTTATCTTCTCCAGCTCTGCAGGCACTGGGCCTCCCTCCCTCCTCCCCTAGCCCCCTCCCTTTCTCCCACCCACAAGCTCCCACCACACTGAGCTGAGCCTGGAGAAGCAGAGGCTCCCTCTGGGCTGCCTGGGCTTCCCACCTGGCCCCCAGGCAATGACAGCAGGGGAGCCTGGGACCTGCTGGCTCCCGCTTTGGGTGCTATGAGTTGGGGGGCCAGGGGAGGAGAGGATGAATGTGATTCTCCTGTCTCTGTTCCCGCACTGTGCTGGATTTGCTTTAGTATGAAAGGCAGGAAACACGCGTTTCAACTTCGGGCTTGGATCCTGAAGCTTCACCTCCTCCCTGGTCAGATGGAGCCACAACATAGGAGTAGAGGCACCCTGGATGTTCCAGGGCTCTGAGTGGGGAGACATGATTATCTCCATTGGGTGGGCTCTGAAGACAACAGGTGCCATCAGAGTGGGGCCTTCATCGTGCCAGTGTCTTTACCGCCATTGCCTCAAATTCCTGCAATAGCTCTGCCCAATAGGCCCCACGGCCCCACCTCACTGATGTGGAAAATTAAGCTCAGAGAGGTTAAGTCATTTACTCAAGGTCAACCAGCGACAAAGTAGTGGAGCTAGGCTTTAAGCGAAAGTTTCGAAGTATATGTTATTCCAAAGTGAAATGAATGGTAGCCCCCTCTAAAAGTTAGCTCCCTATTCTGACCCGAGCTGATCTTGCAGAAGGGAGTAGCTTCATTCTTGAATATCTTCGTTATGAAGTCCTCATGCCCACTCCAGCATGAATCCCTCACCTCCCACCACAGACCCAGGCATGGTCACCCTTTCCTGTCACACCTTTGGCCCAGGGACACTGACCAGAGGCAACCTCGCCCTTGAAACATAAATCACTTTTGAGCAAAATAGATTCCAACAAAGGGTCTGACCTTTGCTATCTCAAGGAAGAGGGGGGCACAGAAATCATGCGGACCCCCTCCCTGACAACCACTGCTCTCCAGTGATTATTTATATAACATTATGCTTTTTAAGACTCTCAATCACACTATGAAAAAAGCAGAGCAGGTATTATTATTTCATCTCACAAGTTGCGAAACTGAGGTTCAGATTTGTTAAGTGCCTGCCCAAGGTCACATAGCAGCTCAACAGCAGAGGCAAAACCAAAACCCTCATCATCCATGTTCATCCATGATTCTAGCTTATTCTCTGGGGCTCAAATAAAGACCAACTAGAAGTTTACTTGCACTTTTCTTTTTTTCAAATACACAAGGTGATAATATGACTTGGAGAAGTTTGTCTGCTTATAGTACTTTGGAAGTTCTATCCCTACTTTTCAGAAGGAGGAACTGAAGTCCTCAAAGATGAAGAATTAGCCCCATCCTGCAGGGAATGAGAAAAACAGGGACAGGACATCTGGGCCTCCCTAATGTCCAGTCCAGAGCACTGACCACTCCCACTACTGTGAGCAGGTGACAGCACCCTCCACAGTCGGTGAGACCAGTCCCACCCTTGCAGCCCCTTGGCAGGTGGCAGACAGCAGATTCAGCTAGAGAGAGCAAGGCTTCCCCATCATATGTGCAGAGGTGGGGACTAGATGTCCACACACTCTAAAGCAGACATGTCAAGTATCGGAGTCACAGTTTTTGGATTCAGATTTGCTTTTTTAACTTGAAAGCCACTGTGGCACTTGAGAATATTTTGCTCATTTTTTCCCCAAAACTAAATCAAAGTGATTTTTCCAAGTCAATAATCAGCCTTCAAGGACTAGGTTTTGTGGGAGCATAGCACACCAACACAGTCAGGGAAGGAAATGCACCCCTCAGGTGAGCCTTCCTGGTAAATGGATAACTCTCCCTGGGTCTCCAGAATCCAAAACAGGTTCACCAACCAGCAGGAGGAAGGAAATATCTATGGAGATGAAAATCCCATCTGGACAGGGCCCTTTAAATGAGATCATTATGTTTGAGGAACTCACTCCGAGACCATGAGCCCCTGCAGGAGTGACCCCTATTTCTTCCCACAGGTCACTTTGCAAAGGACTGGGGAGACAAGCAGGGCCTGGCTCCATGCCAGGCTGCCCTGGATCTCCTGGCCAAGAGCAATTAGGCCAGCAGGAAGGCTCTTGCCAAGTCGCAGAACAAGTACTGCAGCTGGGCATGAGTGGCCCAACTAGCCCGCATCCGAGTCTCCAGGGGCTTCTTCAGGAGCCGAAAGACTAAAAATAACCTCAGCCTTTGTTGTAAGCAGTCGGGCCACAGAGATGGAGCTGATTTCAGGGAATCCGAGCATGCGCCAGGGTCTCACTCACTGGGACCTGCCCTTTGGGCAAATGATTTTTCCAGAAACGTGTCAGTTATTGTGCGGCTGCTGTTGCCACTGCTGCTGAGATTCAAAGGCAGCCTGATCCGCTCCAGCCTGCAGGGCTGCCTTCCAACACTGACTTCCGGAATCTGAGACTCGGCCTCTTTCTTCATGAAACACTTTGAAAACAAGAGTCCAGCACATATTGCAGCATTTAGGAGACAAGAACAGCCCTCGAGCTGAAGGTTCTGTGTCATTGCCACAAATCATCACATCACCACAACTGTTTGTTTAGGTAACTGTCATCTCTCTCCCATCCTAAAATTTCCAGAGTCAGGTCTCAGTAGACAACCCAAGCAGACACCATGTGGAAGGGAGAACTCACTTGGGAAGAGGAATCCGTGATGTCACATCAATACTGCATGGTTTCTCAAAGTTACAGTTCTTTGTTCCAAAATTCAAATTCTTAACCAGATGGCCTTGGCTCAACTTCTTGCCTCCTGAGTCCTACCAGGGAAAACTACCTGAAGATTCAGGTTGGTCAGGAGGGGGAGTCTCAGCATTTCTGTCCACAGGTTGTAGCTAGTCTCACCTCAAGGATGCCTTACTTCTGAAGGTGAAGGAAACACAAAACCAGGTCTCCTGCACAATCATTCCTGACAGAGAACAAATACTGACTGGCTATGCAGGGGCTTCAGAATTGTCTTCACAATATTTTCTCCCACCCCTCATTGCCTCCACTCCTCTCCCCAGACCCTTTAAGAGACCACCCTGGCTGTGGATGCCACTGGATATCAGCTGGCAGTGCAGAAATCACCTCTTCCTCTTTGTAGGGAACAACAAGGGATTTCTGGGCTCCATCATCAAAATGGCCTCCAGGCTCCAAGTCTAGAAGTTTCCAATGAGGTGTGTAATTAAAAAAAAAAAAAAATTCTCCACAGCCCTTTGCTCCTCTGGTGACTTCAGGGTGAAGAGCCTTGAGTTGGGAGGTGAAAAAGATCGTGGGAAGATTTCTTGGAGCACAATAGAAAACACCAAACTACACACAAATAACTGATGAGTGGTCACAAAATGGCTTCCTTTAAAATGGGAACCAGTGCGAGGGCCGTAGGGCTGGGGAAATGTGAGAGGTATTCCACAGGGCCAGGGCTGGGGGTGTTCTTCAAAAGTGCAGATCCTCCTGGTAGAAGCAGGAGGGTCTGGCTGAAATACCAAAACCTGTGTGCAAGAGGTAAGCAGATACCTCACCCTTTGATTCCACATCTTCATGCCCTCTGCAATTACTGATTTTCCTTACAGATGGTCTGCCTGGGTATAGGGGATAGAGGCTCAATCTGGTTTCATGTGGGCTCTGTTTTAGCCTTTCCAGTGGCAAATCACACTTTGTGACCAGGGGCCCTAGGCTTGGCAGCCAAAGGCTGAGGCTTTTTCTTTGAGTAGTTCCCAGCATAAGTGACAGCTCCAACTTCCTATAAAAAACAAGATGGCATTATTAGGAGTCCCTCTCCACCCCACAAGTCCCACCCCTGGGCCTAAATTCTTATAAGTTCTATTTTCTTCTGAGCTTCACAATTCAGAGATTCAGTCCAGCCTTAGAGCTCAGGAGAGAGTAAATGCTCAGAAATGATTGGCTGAATTGTTGTGGAAGCTTCCTCAATTGTGAGGAAGACCCTTGCTTTCTGGTGGTTCCTCTTAAATAGCATCACCAGGCCTAGCCCAACTCTGGAAGCTTTCACCTCCCCACCATCTCAGTCATACCTCCTAGGGCCTCAGGTTGAATTTCAGCTGACTGCATTGTGCCTCAAATGTAAAATGGTAGCAGTCACACCTACCCCAAATGGTCATGATGATTAAATGAGACAGGACATGAAAAACCCTTAGCACAAGCTAATAAAGACTTAATAAGGGGGTGGTAGTAGTTGTTGTTACTGTCAATCTTGTCACCATTACCTTCTGGGGGCTCAGCCACGGGGGGATTTAAACAGTACATGTGATAGCCACGATCACAGTCGTCACAGAAGAGGAGCTGGTCCTGGTGGAACACAGAGTGGTGAAGAGGAGGAAAAGATTGCATTACTTAGAATAAGCATTACAGTCTTAGTTCCACAGATCAAACTTCCTGGATGTCCCCATTTGGGGTCCTCAACTGTCCACTGAATATGCTTCATACTTTGCCACATGTGGAATTCCCCCTCTGCTTCCCCAACTATGCAAATCCTACCTCCACTTTAGGGTTTATTCTGAAATTATACCTTCTTAAAGAAGCCCTCCTTAATTACCACCTCATACTCCAGCTTAGAGGAACTCCTTTTCTTCTCAGTCATTGCCTAATCACCCTCTTAGTCTTCAAATACTTCTTCTCTTTCATAAAGACTTACTTAGTCTACCTCAACTAGAAGGTCTCTCTCCCCTCTTGCATCCCTATAGTACTTTCTCTTTCCTATGATACTTAAATGCATTTTCCTTACTGCAAAACATGGCATGTGGTAGACATCTATACAATTCTTCTATTGGCCAGTTCATTTGGAAAATGCCTCTTTGGTCCACTCCTTATTGGACTGTAAGATCATGGGGGCAGAGTCTTTTACTCACTCTGCATCTCCTTCAGAACTTCCTTGCACATAGTAGCTATGCAATAAATGTTTATGATCTGATCCCATTCTCCAGGTAGAGTTCTATCCTATTACATGACCTATGGACCTGTTTGGATGGCTTATAAAAAGTTTGCAAAATTAAGTCTGTATTAAATCTCACCTTGGCTCCCACCAGTGTAGAGATACTAGAAAAAATAGATATGGAAGTTGGATACCTCAGTGAACAAACAATGAGTCAGGAGAGATCATAAAAGACCTTCTTATTATACTAAGACCTTTCAATGAGGGCAATGGGAAGCTTCTGAAGAGTTAGCAAACAAAGGAGTGTCATGGTCAGACTTGTGGTTTAGATAGCTCTCACTAGCTGCTAAATACCCATATATACCCAGGTGGGGAAAGGTTGGGTCTAGAGGCCAAAGATCACTTAAAAAGATGATTCAGACATCCAGGTAAGATGATGGTGACCGGAAACTGGGATCGTGGGCCAGGGGAAAGGAACAGGTCTTATTCCCACTTAAGAGTCATTGATTAGATGTGGAGAGTGATGTGGAAGAAATTAAGAATGTCTCCTATCAGCCCACCAGTTGATGCAGCTACCCATTGAGACATGGACTGAGGAACAGATTCATGGGAGGCAGAGAGAAACCTCAGCTATAGGCACACTGCATACAAATCACCCAGTGGAAGCAACTGGAAACAACTAGATATTGGAAGACTAGTCTGGGCATGAAACATAGATTTGCTTGGTGATGAGATGGCACTGGAAGTCCTAAGATAGGAAGTCCAGTGCTGGTGAACACAGATGTCCTTCTACCTGCATTCAGGGAGGGGTATCCATGAACTTCTTGAAATGAATTCATAACCTTATTGGCAGAAATGTACATTTTTCTGAGAAAGAGTAAATCCATAGTTTTGATGAAATTTCATGAAAAAGTACTAAAAAAAGATTACTATGACAAAGACCAAGAATAAGGCCCTTGGGGAACACCAATTTTAACAAACAAAAGAAGAATAAAGAAACTAAGAAAAAGCAGTTAGAGCGATAAGATGAAAACAAAAACGGTGTGGTTTACTCTAAAAATTGACACCGTTATTGTTGGACCTGAGGTAAGCTACATGATAATTTGGATAATATGAAGAGGAACAAGTTAGGATTAGCATGGAGACCACAATCAGGGCGAGACTAGTATTACTAGAACCCTAAAGACACTGATAACCTCTACTGTGTTGCACATGAGAAATACAAGAAGGCAGAATACCCTGGATTGGACTTTCCCAAAGAGGAAAAAACATTTGTACATTAAAATATGTTTCTCAAGGTTAATCATCATCTGGCACCATATTCTCTTCTCTTTCATCTGCTTTGCAGGATAATTGCCTGTTAAAGCTATCAGGAAACCCTATCTGTTGAAAAGCACAAGTTGAGGACTTCTTACTACCAAGTATCCAAGAACCTGGATCCACCTATGGCTACAATTCCAGAGAATAGGAATCCCTGGGCGTGGAGAGGAAGTCAGTAGCCCAAGCAACCACACATTGATTCTCCCCTAAGGCTCTGCCAAGTCAACAAAAAAACTCTGCTTTAACACTATTTGTAAAACCAAAGCCAAGAATCAATCCAAATATTCATCAATAAGGGACTAGATGGATAAACTAGTGAATTCCTGTGCAGCTACAGGAAGGATGAAAGTTTTATCTATATATTGCTGTTAAGTAATCTCCAGGCTAGTCAATAAAAACATGAGGTGAAGAAAACATGTATATCTGTTACCATTTTCCAAGATGCTTCCATTTTCTAATGATTCATATGCACATAGGTATACTTTCATATAAAGAAAATGGAAAGATAAACCATAATTTTTTATAACAGTTACCTATAGGCAGAGTGAGGGGATAGTGTGAAAGAGGTGAGAATGGATTTCTTTGATGGTACTGTTTATTTTATAGATTTGATTCTGGAACCAGTGAATATTTTACATGCTCATAAAGCAAAATTAGCTTACAATTGTTACTAAAAAACAAAAGGAAAACGAATCTATGTATTAATTTGTGGCATAACCACATAGAAAGCAACTATTTAAAACAAGTAGTTTGATTATACATCTTTAGTCAAATATGTCTTAAGGACAAAAAAAAGTGCAGATACAGATATAGACATAGATATATTCAGTAATCATATTGTGGGTGGTAATAGAGGAATTTATATTCTGATATTTTTATGTGTGTAATAATGTTGGTTTTGAGAAGCAGCAAGATTTTGACATAGTTGGAAAAAAATACAGATGAAAGGTCAATAAGGTTAAGTAAAAATTCTACTATTAGTCCTGGGTATAATTTGGAAGAATTGGTATAAATTCATGGTGCATTTTATCTTTAAAACAAACAAAACATATTTTCTAACTCTATCCATTGATAATGTCGCCATACAGTAACTAACACCATGAAAATTAGCACTCATATTATGGTCTCTAGTGGCAATGGTCTTTAGAGAACATAATATGAGTGCTAATTTTCATGGTGTTAGTTACTGTATGGCGGCATTATCAATGGATAGAGTTAGAAAATATGTTTTGTTTGTTTTAAAGATAAAATGCACCATGAATTTATACCAATTCTTCCAAATTATACCCAGGACTAATATACACAATGGAATATTACTCAGCAATCAAAAAAGATAAACACATGCAGTTTGCAGCAACATGGATAGAGCTAGAAGGGATCATGCTCAGCGAAATAAGTCAGAAAGAAAAAGAAAAATACCAGATGGTCTCACTCATAACAGGAATTTAGAAAACCTAAATAAGAGACCAGGAAAAAAAAGACTAATCAATGCAAAGTAAAAATCAAAGCAACTACAAACCAGAGACACAAAGCGGTGGGGGGACAGGGCGGGGGAAGAAGCGGTGGTAGAAGAATGGACTACAGTCAAAATAAGGGGGGAGGTGCAATTGTATGGGGAATATAACCAAAATGAAAATGCATACATTGTGCAAAGATGAAAAAAGATTTATATAAGAATTATATAAAATAAAATATTTTTTAAAAAAAAAGACCATTGCCACTAAAATGAACCAGAAGTCCTTAGAGAAAAGGCTGATTCTCTATCTGGGTCATGAAATGAATATCTTTACATACTTGGAAAGCAAGGAAGTGATCAAATACTATTGGAGTCTTGTCAAAAGGACTCAGGATTCAGCCTGATTATGCTCCCACTGGGCAAAAATAGTATAAATGCTACCATAATGGATTGAATTAAATCAAATATATTTAAATCCTTGAATTCATAGACATGATTTTTAAAAAATTGTCACCTTTAGAAGATGTTAGAGAAATATGCCATTATATTTTTATTTATCATTTTGAAATAATTTTAGATTTAGAAAAAGTTTACAAAACTAGTACAAAGAGTTTCTGCATAGACTCTGCTTCCCTGAATGTTAACATCTTACATTCCCACAATATGATCACAAAAAGGAGGAGGTAATTACTATTGGGACAACACCAACTAGTCTACAGACCTGACTTGAATTTTACCAGTTTTTCCACCATGTTCTTTATCCCAGGATGCAACTCAGGACCCCACAGTGCATTTACTTGTGTCCTTGACACGGAAACAGTTCCTCAGTTTCTTTATCTTTCTTTATCTTTCTATCCCAAGCCAGTGACTTCATAGAATGTCACTCAATTTGAGCTTGTCTGCTCTTACTTCATGAGAAGATCGAGGGTGTGTACCTTTGGCAAGAATAATAGAAAAAAGATGGTGTCCCCTTCTCAGTGCATTATATCAGGGGGGCATTGATATCAGTAAGTCTTATTACTAGTAATGTTACTGTGGTCGTGTGGTCAAGGTACTATAGACCAGTTTCTCCATTGTTAAGCTATGACTTTCCCTTTGTAATGTATTTATAAGTAATCTAATGGGGGAGATACTCTGAGATTATGCAAATATCCTCTTTCTCATCATACTTTTTTTTTTTGATTCATTTGTTTTTTTTTTAATAATAAATTTTATTTTTATATTCCCCATACAATTGCAAATGCCCCATTCTGACCCCAATCCCTCCCCTCCCGGCCCCCACCCCCCAAAAAGTGTCTCTGGTTCAGTTTTTTGTTGATTTTGATTTTCACTTTCTTATAGTTATTCATTTTCCTGGTCCCTTATTTAAGTTTTCTAGATTCCTGCTATGAGTGAGACCATCCGGTATTTTTCTTTTTCTTTTTGGCTTATTTCGCTGAGCATGATCCCTTCCAGCGCCATCCATGTTGCTGCAAATTGCATGTGTTTATCTTTTTTGAATGCTCTCATCATACTTTTACCCACTAATATTAGCATCAATTGATGGTTCTTACAACAACCATAACTATGATGATTGCCCATTGGTGACATTACCTATTGGTGATTAGTTGTTCTCTTCCCTCTATATTTATTAATTGCAATTCTGACCTGCAGTAGAGTTTACCTCTTCCTTTTTTTTTGTTTATCTATTCGAATGTTTTGTTCTTGTTCAAGATTAGAATTATATTTATTTTACTCTTTGCCTTGTAATGTCATACTGTCTTTAGTTTGTTACCAAACTGTCCCCAATTTTGCAAATGGCAGTTCCTTCAATTTGACTCCCGTGTCCTTTGGGCATGTCCCATCACTTTTTTAGAATACCCTTACTTTCTAGTACACAGGATGCTCCAGACTCCTTTTGCATTTTCCCTACCCCAGTATTGGCACTAGCCATTTCTCCTGGTTCCTTTTTTTTGAAAATGGTATTTAGAAACCATTGTCTGAGTGGTATGTATTTTCATTGCTTTGGGTTGTCACTGCTTCTAGTCTCTCCCAACTGATGCAGATAGGAAACAAATAAATGTGTAGGTAGACATGCATCTATATGTGTATGTAAACTATATTACATTATACTGTAATAATGTAATACATCGATACCCACTATTCCAGCCCAATGCCACAGGGTTCAGTCCAGCCTGCTCCCTGCACTCGGAAATTCTTTCTCTGGCATTGAGAAACCTGCCTCTCATTATTCACAATTTGTAGTTATTAATTCAGACCTTGTACACACATGATTTCAGAATGACTAACTCATACACCTATGGGAAACAAATTTACTAATGAGAATACATTATTTGTGAATTATTTCTGACTTTAGCCTTAGGATACAAATACTGCTTTCCAGAGTTACTTGGTTAGTCCCTTCCTGCTCCACACTTCAGTATGGTTATGCTATATATTTATATTATACTTAGGTTCATTTGTTACTGTTTCTATTCCATCTAAGTTTTCCAACATTCTAGTAGATTTTTAGCATTTCTCCATTGGAGAACATATAAAACAATACCTTGGTTCTTAGAATTAGAGCTATACAAAAAGGCATGCTCAGAGAATTGTTTTCCCCTTATCTTTATCAACCCACTCATAGGCTGTTCTTTTTCACAGCTGCCTAATATCCCATGATGTTTCTGTGCCATCATTTGTTAAACCATTATTTGGATCTCTGAGAATTTAGGTTGTTTCCAATATTTTATAATTATAAACAATGTGAACATGAATATACTAATGCATATGTATTTTCATATATTCTGGGTATATCTATAGGATAGATTCCAATGGGCAAGATCAGAGTGTAAAAGTAAGTGCACAACAGGTGTGTTTGGTATTGCTCAATTTCCCTCTAGAAAGGGTGCACCACTTTGTATTCCCAGTTGGTGGTTTTCACATAGCTTCATCAATAGACAGTATGGTCACACTTTTAATTTTTTTCTAATTTATAGATAAGAAATGATACATTTGTTTTATTTTAATTTGTTTTCATTTCTTTAATTAATAGTGCATTTGAACGATTTTTAATGTTTAGGAGTCATTTCTTATATCTTTTATGAATTATCTGTCATTCTTTTATCTTATTCTATCTAGCTTCTGGTCCCTGGTCCCTCAAATTTTAAGAGTTCTTTGTGTATTAGGGATAGTAGCCCATTTTCTGTGGTGTATGCTACAAATATATTTTTCCAGATTTTCAACTGCCTTTTGATTTTATGGTGTTTTATGTTATGAAAATTTTTATGTGGTCAAATTTATCAATATTTTCTTTAATTGCCCATGAATTTTGAGTCACAGAAAATCCTCCTTACATTTATATTTAAAAAACTCACCCATGTTAACTAATATGTTTTTATTTTTTATATTTGGATCCCTGGCCCATTTGAAGAGTGTTCTTATTTATTTTGTGGGCTATGGACCTAATTTTGTCTTTTGCCAAATACATAGCCCCTTGCCCCAAACCACTCATTGAAAAGCCATCTTTGATCCAGTAATTTTAGCTGCAACTTTTATACTGAATGTATGTAGTTGGGTCAATTTATGGATTTTCTAATCTATTCTATTGGTCTGTTTGCCTAAACTGTTTTAGTATAGAAGTCTTGCAGTATGTTTAACACCTAGTAGGGCTAGCTCCCCCCGCCCCAATAATTTGGTTTTTGGTGTGTGTTTTCTTTACTGTTCTTGCAAATTTGTGTTTCCATATGAATATTAGTATAAAGGTATCTAGTTTTATAAAAACTTATTGCTGTTTTTATTTGTCTTGAATTAAATTTGTCAACTAGAAAGAACTGACTTCTTTATAAAGTTGAGTCATTCTATCCCAAATCATCTGAGGTCGTTATATTTTCTCAATTCTACTTCTTTGTCTTTTCAAACATGTTTTAAAATTTTCTTCATAGGTTTTACATATTTACTATTAAGTTTATTTCTAAGTATTTCTTCTAGTATTTCTGCTTGTAAGTGGAATTTCTCTACTACTATGTTATCTAACTGATTGCTATTAAATTAATAGAAAACTGTTAATTTCTGTATGATATTTTTATATAATGTTACCTTTACTGTTGAGTTAGCTTAATCATTGATTGTGTGATGCTTTCTAGATTATAGTTTCCTACTTTATTGCCATTCTTATGACTGTAGTTGACTTATCATATTGCATTAACTATAATATCTCTAGAACAGTGATGAATAGTAGAAATTATGGGCATCCTTACCCATTTTCTGACCTGAATAGAAATTCCTTTATATTTCTCTATTAATAAGATAATGGTTTTAGTTCTAAAGTATAAATAGTTTATCATGTTAAGAAAGTGTCCCACAATTCCTATTTCCTTGAACATATTTATCATGAACAGTTGTTCAACCCATCCTGTTATTTTGAAACTGTAAATAAAGGAGAAAAATGAAGTATTAATCTGGCCTTTCCTGTGCCTTAGGACAATCAAATATGAAACTGAAAAATGTTTCTTTTTGTAAAATTACTCCAATTAATAAACAAAGAAGAAATTATAGATTAAAAATATCACTATTCTGCAACTCTTAATGAAATTATCAATCTAATTGAAGAAAATCAAGAGCTGTTTACCTTCACAAAAAGAGAGACACCAGGCATTCCATACCTCCTGGTAGAAGGACACGCCACCATTTATGTACATATATATATATATATTTCATTGTATTTTATTGTATTATAAAGTATATGTGTAGAGAGAGGTTGAGATAGAATGAGTGCAAATCTGGATCTGATAAAGCTCTAGCTCTAAGTAAAAATGTATAAGAAAAGAGACAGAGGAAAATGTCCACCACTACCACGGGATGCGGTCAGTGAAATACAGTCACAGGAAACACTAATGAACAAATTAGCTGATTTCTTCAACAAAAATTCAAGGGGAAAAAGGAGCAAGATGGAGGGAAAAGCGATATATTAAAAGAAGCTTTAAAAGCAAGTCAACTAATCACAATTATAGCCCTGATTTACATCCCAATTCAAATAAACAAGCTGTGTTAAAAATATTTATACATAGGCAATAGGAAGTTTGACCAGATATTTGAGTATATTAAGGAATTAATGATTTTTTTTAGCTATGTTAATATTTTGGTTATTTTTGTTTAAAAGTACTTATCTTTGTGAGATTAGGAATATTTATATTTATTTATTTGTATTTGAAATATTTACAGATGAATGCCATTGTGATCAGGATTATCATGGGGTCAAAGGGCAAAGGGGAGGTGTTGACTGACATTTCCCCCAGCAGCCAGTGATGAAAGTCCTTCCAGAGACTCTGCCCCTCAAAGGTCTCCCAACTCTTGGATCTCTCTCTGACAAAGGATGCCCAAACTCACATCATTCTCTGAGGTCCCACAGAGGATGCAGGACTTGCACTCTATGCACTGCCACTTGTAGGTCTTGACGGCCTCGGTCATGTTCAGGGTGAACTGCAGGCAGGTTGGGTGACCTGGAGGAAGCAGATATGGCAGCATTAGGGCTAGAGGATATGACCCCTCAACACCACTAATCAAAAACATATTTTTGCCTAATTTGTAGGGAGAGTGGGGGTAGAGCACAGGTTGGGAAATAAACTTGGGGACTTGATGGCACTCTACCCACACTTACCACCACCATCAGACTGAGGCCCAAAGAGAGAAATGAACATTAACACTCTTAGTGGGGGATAGAATCCTTTCCCATTCTCTTGCTATATGAGCATGGCCCCTCAACCCCACCCAGAAGTGAAACCAGCTAATGAGGACAGAAAGTGATAAACAAAGAGAAAGAAAGAGAAAGAGAAAGAGAAAGAGAAAGAGAAAGAGAAAGAGAAGAGAAAGAGAAAGAGAAAGAGAAAGAGAAAGAGAAAGAGAAAGAGAGAAAGGCACAAAGCACAAGGCAGCACATGGAGTCACCAGCGTTGTTTCCAAGCCCCAGCACCAATTGAGGCAGGAGTAACACATAAGAGGTATTTGGAGCTGGACTTTCCATGTGCAAAGTTGTTCATGTTGCCCCAGGGCACAGGACAGGAGGTCAAGGGAGCTGTATGGTTCCCAGGGACTGCGCAGGGGCATTATGAGGGAATGCACTGTTGCCTGAAGTATCCATGCCCATGCCAGAAAACTAGCAGAAATCTACATCCTGCACAGAAACAGGGACTTAAATGGAAATGGCCTGGCAGAGGGGGCAAAGAAATGGATCATCACAGCAAAGGGCAGACAAGGCCAGGTCTATCCTAAAAGGACCTGTTGATGGCTCTAGTTCTTTTTTCCATCCCAAGAATCACATTAGCCAAGCCAATAGCAAAATTAGGAAGGGACAGTATGTTGTGAGCTTAGCGCACACACGCCAGTGGACCAACACCCATGGCTTGACCTGCAGAGTTAGACTCTCTTCTTAGCCAGTTCTCACCCAAAAGAGACACTCGGGCAGGGAGAAGAGAGCTTTGAGGCACAGGATGTGAAAACCCTTGACCTTTTGTTTTGGTAGGAAAGGGAAAGTTGGATGATGTTCTCAGGTTTCCAGTGCTGTGAATCAGACAGGACTCTGCCCATAGTTCCCAGGGCAAATCCATTACTGATCGTCAGAAAGGAATTGATAGCTTGGCCTTCTGTGGGGTTCACCCTTCTCCAGCGCTCCCAACTCTGCCAAATCCACCATGTAGTGCATTGTGTTGTCTCTTGTATTGAGGGATTATGTGCTTCTAAGGGACACTATTTGTGTCACTCCACCAACCTAGTACCCTCCACAGTTGGTCAGGGTCCCACTTGACACCACACCCCCAGGCAAAGACATAGCCTGTGGGAAGCCACCATTTCCTCCATCCCAGATGCTCAGGGAGCTGGTTACATCATGATCATTTGGGGGAAATACTGTCAATTCAGTCAACATACAAACCTTTCCAATTTCAGACTCCACAAGTACAAACCATGTGGTTATCGCTGAGAGTGGAGAGAGAAATCATTTGTTGGTGGAGACGATGAAAGACACTTAGCAGAGAGGAGGTAGAAGCATCAAGGAGAAGACTGACTTAAAAGCTTTCCCAGGACTTCTCAGATGCCATAGAACTCAGACATGCCCCCAGCTCTGAACTGATGAATGACCCTCCTGAGGTGACACTGTGGCAGGGAATCTGAAGAGAAAGAAGCTTGAAAGCATCTTAACAATCTAAGAAGACTTCTGATCAGAGTTATTCCCTATTCCAATCTCTCAGAGAGACTGCTAGGCTGGGATTAAGAGGGAAAATGCCAAAGTGTGATTCTGAATGGTGGGGACCCTGGCTGTCCAGCGCTCGGACAGGGCAACCTTGGAAGACTGAAGATGAGGTCACGGAGCAGACACCCATATGAGCAAGTAGACTTTGCCTAATTCCATGGCCTCCAGCTTGCAATAATAGTTCATGAACTTTAGTATGTACTGAGCAATAGCTGGATGACCTATTGAACAGATACACAGAAAAGATAAAATGGTGGGCAAGACAGCCCAGTCTAGTCAACTCAAATTAATAAGTTGCACACATATCTATATATTTACAATTGTTTAAGTGCCACAAAGGAATATTACGGTTGGCAACAAAATAAAACAATAAGGGAATCTAACCTAGTCTGAGATGCCAAGGAAATCTTCCCTGAGAAAGACCTTTAAACTGATACCTGACAGATGAAGAGAAGTTAGCTGGGAGGGGGAAGGGGGGAGTGATAGCAGGGGAGGATTCCAAGTGGGGAGAACTGCATTTTGCGGGTGGGGGGGAAGCTCTAATCAGTGAATGAGGTTATCAAATTTAAATGTAGGGAAAGACCAGTGAGCAGAGGCTTGGTAGGGCAAGAGACAGCCAGAGGGGTAGCTGGAGCCAGATTACACTAACACCCATAGTCCTAATTTGAGGATTCAGACTTTACAACCATGACAGGATTTTAAGCAAGGCAGTGGCTGGATTATATTGTGTTTTTAAAGGAGCATGAGGAATCTTTACTGTGATGAAGCGGTTCTGTATCTTAATTGTAGTGGCTTAATTGTGGTTCTGTATCTTAATTGACATTGATGATTGCTCATCAATGTCAATTGCCTGGTTTTATATTGTACTATTGTTTTACAAGATATAACCATCAAAGGAAACTGGGTGAAGAGTGCATGGGAACACCCCATAAGATAGTTTGCATTTTCTATGCAACTATACTTATTTCAAAATAAGATGTTGAAAAGATCTTTTTAAATAAGAAAAGCCCCATAAAAATTAAAGTTATCATAAAGGAAGGAAGAGAGGGAGGAAAGAAGAAAAGAAGGAAGGAAGGAGCAGCTGTCTAAGGAGAGCATTTGTGCAGACAGGGAAAATGTAGAGATGGAAGAATTTTGGAGACACAAGTTAGGAGGCTGATGCAGCTACCAGAAGAGAGAGAAGCAGAGAGAAGCATGATCATACTAAAGTAAAGACTTGAAACATTTTAAGGGTAAGACTGACAGGACTTGAACATTGTTTGAACAGTGGGAATATGGGAGAGGCATGAGAAATATTCCCAAGTTTCTAACCTAAGATAGCAGATGTGTTGCAGTGAAATTTACTCAGATAAGGAAGACTCTAGAAAGAACATAAGGACCAAATGGAGGAAGGGAAGAACTGACTCTGTTTTGCACATGTTGAATTTGGGAAGGCTCACAGGCTCCTGGCGAAAATGTCAAGGTGATACTCAAATATCATGGGTTTAGAGATCAAAAGAGAAGTTTGCAGTAAACCTATAAATTTAGGAGTTCTTGCCAAATAGGTGGTCATTGACGCCATGAGAATTAATGAAATCATCTAAGAAAGGGGACAAGAGAAGAGAGAGGAAAAGGGGAGAAAAGAAAGAAAAAGGTCTAGGACTGAACTTTGAGGAGTTCAACTCCTCAAAGATCAAAAGAACCAGAGGACGCCCAGAGAGATAAGATGCAAACTCAACAAGTATCACACATAGCAGCCAAGGAAGAGATTTCGGGAAGGAGAAGGTGATAAATTCTGTTGACTGCCACATGTTCTTGAGTTTGTCATTGCTCAGTAAAGACCCTGAGCCAGGGAGTATTGATAGATCAGTGCAAAAGCTGTCCTATTAATGACACTTTTCAGTAGTGTCATCTTCCCTAGGAAGGAAGGTCAACACATTCCAGGACAGGAAATGGAACTCAGCGGCTAACTGAGCATCTGTAGCTGCCTCCACTGGTGAGTGCAGGAGTTAGTGAGAGTGCTTCATGCAGCCAACAACACTCCACAAACATTTATTGAAAGCCAATCCTATGTCCAATTCTCTCTGACCACTGTGCTGAGCTCTGAAGACATTTTTGAAGAGCATCTTCAGAAAGAAGATCGTCTAAGAGTCAATCTGATGTGGATAAGACTACAGTCTCCTGATCTCAATGAAAAAGAGAAGACAGGACCAATGAACAGAACTTCCATTGGAAGTCTTTGAAAAAAATCCCATTGGCTTTTCCTGTGTTCCCATCTTGAGAAAGCCATCAGCCTCCTCCAAAGACCCTCCATACCCAAAGGATGGAACGAAAGTTCACATAATCTCCCCAACCTCATCCACTTTCCAAGTAAAATCAGAAGTAGTAGGAGTGTCAACATTGGTTTTAGAACTCCAGAAATTAAGACATCACTCAAATCTGCGAGAAAAGTAGGGGGTGGAAATTAGCCTGGTAGGAATAGGCACAAAAGCTTGTTGCCCAATCAGCTTTTACAGGTACAAAAAGTATGTCCAGAACTAAATGTCCAAAACTAAACTTTTGACCGTGCTACCTCAACCAGATGGCTGTCTGTTGTCTTTCTCTGAAAAAATGGAAAAAATCATGAGCAGATACAACTGTAAGAATCAGACTTCTTACCTACCATGGAAATGAAAATAATGCACTGTTGGACCAAGGGAAAGGTTTTAAGGAAAGTGACAGAAACCCTTTTCTAAGGTTTGACTTATTTTTGCCCAGAACTAAGTCCTAAAACCAGTGGAGGAAGGAAATAATAGATGCAATTCCAGGGAGGTAGGAAAAAGAGGCACATGGTTGCAAAGACATTTATTCATGGCCACGTGCAACTGAAAGATTCTTTATATCTTTAACAAAGTTAATCATTGTTCTCTAATGCACTTGCTTGGAAATCTATATTGTTCAAATGTTTCTTAAATCAAGGAATACCTGTATTGCTATTTAAATAGCCCAGTGGAGTGGAGGGAAACAGTCTTTCCCAGGTCCTCACCCCCGGGTGAGATGATTCAGCAGGATATTTGTAAGAGTCCAATGACCAAGATGAATTTAGAAAGTACGACTGTGTGCAGGATTCCTCCCATCCAGATCACTGAAGTCCAAGTCATTTCTGGGTCTTCCTTCAGATTTATTCTATTAAGAAGGTTCAGTAAATCTGCCTACTTGTTTAGTTGGTCCAACAGTCAATTTGATATGAAGAAACATTCCTTATTGAGTCTAGAGGCCTTCAAAAACTGACCTCAG